AATAAATAAGAAGTATTGTTTAAATACAATCTAAGTTAATAAATAAGAAGTATTGTTTAAATACAATCTAAGTTAATAAATAAGAAGTATTGTTTAAACACAGTATAAGTTAATAAATAAGAAGTATTGTTTAAACACAGTGTAGGTTAATAAATAAGAAGTAGTTGTTTAAACACAGTATAAGTTAATAAATAAGAAGTATTGTTTAAATACAATCTAAGTTAATAAATAAGAAGTATTGTTTAAACACAGTGTAGGTTAATAGATAATCTAACCTAACTCTTTAAAACAATATGGAGATGATAAAGGATAAAAATAATTCAATCTACCCCTTTAGAAAATAGTCTCATGGTAATAAGAAAATGTTAATTCAGCAATCCCTTACTTACTGGATATCGTAAGCCTAGTTTCATGAGAAGAGGAACTCAGTTAAACTGGTATGGCAGCAGAATTTATAGAGTTAACTATACGTAAGATGTAACTTCGAGTTTATTCTAAGAAAATGGAATCCTGATCAAATAATAATAATAAGTAACGATATATCCAAATAAAAATGATAGGTCGGTACTAACTAAAAATCTGTCATTAATAAACTAAACTGTTAATACGAAACTAATCATCTTGACACCCAAACATACATTCTATCAACAGACAACGAAAGATATATGTAACAAGACATCCTGTTAATAACCTATTAACCATCCTGTCAATACGCAACTAAACATTCTGTAAATAGTTAACTAACAGTTTTATCAATACGCAAATAAATATCCTGCCAAAAGCGAACAAGACATTCTGTCAACAAACAACAAAATATATTTGTACCAAATCATCTTGACAATAGGCAACTTATACATTCTGTCAATACGCAACTAACTATCCTGTCAATAGCCAACATATCATTCTGTCAATAACCAACTAACAGTTCTATCAATACGCACTTAAATATTCTGCCAAAAGCCAATAAAACATCCTGTCAATAGATAATGTATACATTCTGTCAACAGACAATGTATACATTCTATCAGTAAACAACTATACATTCTGTTAATAAACAATGTATACATCCTGTCAACAGACGATGTATATATTCTGTCGATAGACAATGTATACATTCTGTCAACAGACAATGTATACATTCTGTCAATAAACAATGTATACATCCTGTCAATAGACAACTATACATTCTGTCAGTAAACACTATACATTCTGTCAATAAACAATGTATACATCCTGTCAATAGACAATGTATACATCCTGTCAATAGATAATGTATACATTCTGTCAACAGACAATGTATACATTCTGTCAACAGACAATGTATACATTCTATCAGTAAACAACTATACATTCTATCAGTAAACAACTATACATTCTATCAGTAAACAACTATACATCCTGTCAATAGACAACTATACATCCTGTCAATAGACAATGTATACATTCTGTCGATAGACAATGTATACATTCTGTCAACAGACAATGTATACATTCTGTCAACAGACAATGTATACATTCTATCAGTAAACAACTATACATCCTGTCAATAGACAACTATACATCCTGTCAATAGACAATGTATACATTCTGTAGAACACAGAATAGCTCCAGGACAGGACATAGCTACTATGTAAAACACTATAGCTCCAGGACAGGACATAGCTACTGTGTAAACCACTATAGCTCCAGAACAGGACATAGCTACTGTGTAAAACACTATAGCTCCAGAACAGGACATAACTATTATGTAGAACACACTATAACTTCAGGACAGGACATAACTGTAATGGGTAAATTCTCGATTTTTTTAGATGCAGTATTAAAGTTACTAATCCTATTTCAGTTAACCAGTTTTCCATCAGACAGAATAGTTAACTGTGTATATAAAGATGTTAATGTTATACTCAACAGAATGTTGAAGAGAATAAAACACATTAGCGACAAAGTTCACACACAGAAAGCTCCGTACTAAAAAATCACCAGGTGGCGTGGAGTAAGAAGGTGCAACTGGAAAGTGCTGTTTTAGAGAACTTCACAGAAGAGCAGACTGTCCTGAGCCATGGTCTGGAGGGTTACTTGAGTGTCCATTGGTAGCAGCTCCACTGTCAAAGGTTCTCCACGTTCCCTGCGGCAGTTCGGACAGCCACACACCTCTTGTTTGGCCACCGTTTCCTCGGGAGAGATCGTGCTCGGGTCATCCGTTTCCTTGGTAACCTGTTCTTTCTTCCGGATTAGTTCGGCTTCACGGTATTCCTGGGCTCTGCAAGGAACGACCATTTCACCACACAGGGAACAGGGCACTGCCCCTGGAGGTAAAGAATTTTCTAGATTTTCATGGCCCGACTTACGTCGCGAGAAAAATCGCAGTTTCTGGAAAAATTAAAACATAAATGACATCAGACAAATTAGGAGTTTCTAGTATTACCAGTGGGCGTTTTATAAGTGATGGTCATGTTTAAAAAAACATCCAGAGATATATCAGGATACAAACATACATCCCTTGTGGTGTACTCAGTTCATACAACCCCGTGGTGTACTCAGTTCATACATCCCCGTGGTGTACTCAGTTCATACATCCCCGTGGTGTACTCAGTTCATACATCCCCGTGGTGTACTCAGTTCATACATCCCTTGTGGTGTACTCAGCTCATATATCCCCGTGGCGTACTCAGTTCATACATCCCCGTGGTGTACTCAGTTCATACATCCCCGTGGTGTATTCAGTTCATTCAACCCCGTGGTGTACTCAGTTCATACAACCCCGTGGTGTACTCAGTTCATACATCCCCGTGGTGTACTCAGTTCATACATCCCCATGGTGTATTCAGTTCATACATCCCCATGGTGTACTCAGTTCATACATCCCCGTGGTGTACTCAGTTCATACAAACCCGTGGTGTACTCAGTTTATACACCACGGGGTGTACTCAGTTCATACAACCCCGTGGTGTACTCAATTCAGATGGGCTTTTGTCCAGTTTTGTGTAACATGAAAACAGTTAAAAAGACAAGTTGGTTTGTGTAACACACAAACAATTAAAAATCAAGTGGGTTTGTGTAACATACAAACAATTAAAAGTCGAGTGGGTTTGTGTAACATACAAACAATTAAAAGTTAAGTGGGTTTGTGTAACATACAAACAATTAAAGTCAAGCGGGTTTGTGTAACATACAAACAATTAAAAGTTAAGTGGGTTTGTGTAACATACAAACATTTAAAGTCAAGTGGGTTTGTGTTAACATACAAACAATTAAAAGTAGAATGGGTTTGTGTAACATACAAACAATTAAAAGTTAAGTGGGTTTGTGTTAACATACAAACAATTAAAAGTAGTGGGTTTGTGTTAACATACAAACAATTAAAAGTTAAGTGGGTTTGTGTTAACATACAAACAATTAAAAGTAGAATAGGTTTGTGCAACATACAAACAATTAAAAGTCAAGTGGGTTTGTGTTAACCTACAAATAATTAAAAGTAGAATAGGTTTGTACAACATACAAACAATTAAAGTCAAGTGGGTTTGTGTTAACCTACAAATAATTAAAAGTAGAATAGGTTTGTACAACATACAAACAATTAAAAATCAAGTGGGTTTGTGTAACATACAAATAATTAAAAGTTAAGTGGGTTTGTGTAGCATACAAACAATCAAAGTCAAGCGGGTTTGTGTTAACATACAAACAATTAAATGTCAAGTGGGTTTCTGTTAACCTACAAATAATTAAAAGTAGAATGGGTTTGTGTAACATACAAATAATTAAAAGTTAAGTGGGTTTGGTGTTAACCTACAAATAATTAAAAGTAGAATAGGTTTGTGCAACATACAAACAATTAAAAGTCAAGTGGGTTTGTGTTAACCTACAAATAATTAAAAGTAGAATGGGTTTGTGTAACATACAAACAGTTAAAAGTCGAGTGGGTTTGTGTTAACATACAAACAATTAAAACTAGAATGGGTTTGTGTTAACATACAAACAATTAAAAATCAAGTGGGTTTGTGTAACATACAAATAATTAAAAGTTAAGTGGGTTTGTGTAACATACAAACAATTAAAGTCAAGCGGGTTTGTGTTAACATACAAACAATTAAAAGTCAAGTGGGTTTCTGTTAACCTACAAATAATTAAAAGTAGAATGGGTTTGTGTAACATACAAATAATTAAAAGTTAAGTGGGTTTGTGCAACATACAAACAATTAAAAGTCAAGTGGGTTTCTGTTAACCTACAAATAATTAAAAGTAGAATGGGTTTGTGTAACATACAAATAATTAAAAGTCGAGTGGGTTTGTGTTAACCTACAAATAATTAAAAGTAGAATAGGTTTGTGCAACATACAAACAATTAAAGTCAAGTGGGTTTGTGTTAACCTACAAATAATTAAAAGTTAAGTGGGTTTGTGTTAACATACAAACAATTAAAAGTAGAATGGGTTTGTGTAACATACAAATAATTAAAAGTAGAATAGGTTTGTGCAACATACAAACAATTAAAAGTAGAATAGGTTTGTGCAACATACAAACAATTAAAAGTAGAATAGGTTTGTGCAACATACAAACAATTAAAAGTCGAATAGGTTTGTGCAACATACAAACAATTAAAGTCAAGTGGGTTTGTGTTAACCTACAAATAATTAAAAGTTAAGTGGGTTTGTGTTAACATACAAACAATTAAAAGTAGAATGGGTTTGTGTAACATACAAATAATTAAAAGTCGAGTGGGTTTGTGTTAACCTACAAATAATTAAAAATCAAGTGGGTTTTTGTAACATACAAACAATTTAAAAGTTAAGTGGGTTTTATGTAACATACAAATAATTAAAAGTCGAGTGGGTTTGTGTTAACATACAAACAATTAAAAATCAAGTGGGTTTTTGTAACATACAAACAATTTAAAAGTTAAGTGGGTTTGTGTAACATACAAACAATTAAAAATCAAGTGGGTTTTTGTAACATACAAACAATTTAAAAGTTAAGTGGGTTTCGCAACAGTTCGTCAGGTTTTTATTTTATATAAAAAGAAGTTCAAAAGATAAAGAAATAAAAATAATTTCAACATATAAAATCAATAAATTAAAATCGCTCTAAATAAACACGCACAACCTTTACAGAAAAACGATTTCATAGTTATAATGAAAAAATAATCGTAGGTAAAAGCTAGAAAAACGTTTTAACGTAAAGCTACGCTATCTGTTCATCGCAGGAATCGAATTCCAGATTTTAGCGTTATAAGTGCGTATACCTATCGCTGCCCCACAGTGGGGACAGATACGTTATCTCTGAACTAAACGATTAGTTTCAAATCTTCCAGTGAAATTCACCTTCTCAATTATAGATTGTTGGATCCTCCCCCAAAGGGGGGTATAAATACACGATGTGTTACAAAATTTAGACATTATTTGTCTGAAATCAGTAATGGTTTAAAATTTAAACACAAATCGCGAAGAATACTAATAGTTAGATTTCTCTACCAGATATCCATTCACAGTTTTGAAATAAATCTTAAGGTGTAGAACGGATTACCTGAGGGTACGTAACGTAATGACTTCAACATAATAAACCGTTCTTTACTGTATTACTTTTAGCGTAATTGACTAAATGCGCTCTGTACACAGAGGGGATCAAATCATAAACTCTTTGGCTAGCCATGCATGACCAGGCCTGGATTAACCATTAAGCAAAATAAGCACGTGCTTAGGGCACCAAGGGAAGGGACACTACAGAGTTTTTTCCATTGCCGGTGCAGCTGAACTAGGGCCCCACAAAAAGGGGGCCCCTCACAATAAATGAAAAAAACAACAACACATATATATATATATATATACAACAAGAACATTAATAATAATAATAAAATATTACTATTAATATTATTATAGTATTGAAGAGGTTAATGATATATTTTAAACTTTGGAATACAACAAAATTGGAATCTGGCAACTGCCACACGGAGCAACCTCAATGGCTCGCTCTGCGTGAGTTAGTGAGAGTTGTGCAGCAGCCACTGCCAATAGAGGTATGTGATGGTCTGTGTCTTGATATAGCTATTGAGTGTTGTAAACTGCAGTTTACATTGCTTAGGCAAAACAGTCACGAGTAACACTGATCGTCATAAAACACCTCGAAAAATCGAAATATATATACATTATTACTAAGTAAGTTCCTGAATATCTCATTAAATGAATTACTTTATATTAACAAAATGAAGGGGTAGATATTTTACCTATATAAACACATTGCGTTACTAAATAAAAGGGCAGTTAAAATTAGTTAAATAGAACGTGGTACAAATGTGAGTTAGAATAGGCCTAGCTGTTGCAATAAAGTAGTATTAAACCAAAATGGCCTAATTCAAGTTATTTTATAAGTTATCAGGTGTTGTAATACACATTCTTAAATTAAAATATAGATAACTTAGCTTATACTATATTGTTCTTAATGCAGGCAGAGGTGGCTAAGATTTAGTGAATTTCCAAAGTCAATTCATTGAGTTCCAAATTCTCCACATACCTAGAGTTCAAACTTCATTATGTTCGACGGTCTTACTAACTTTTTCTGTATGAATTTCAGTGTTTTTCTAATCATTATAAACATATATATGATTTTTATTCTGTTGTTTTTTTTTAATTCTGTATTTTTCAGACCCCATGATGAAATGTGTTCAATTAAGTGGCGTACAAAAGAGAAAACTGGCAAGAAGGAACTAACAAAAGGCTTCGGATTTAGTGACCAAGACTAGAAAGCTGACTAATGTTACACAACATGATCTTCCGAATCAAATCCAATCTCTGTCATCAGAAGTGGACACTACTACGGTTAGTACTATAACAGAATATCACGATGACGTTGAGGTCAAAGAGATGGTTCAACTAGCACATGTCTCACTACTGATCTCACTGTGTCTGTGAATTCTCTTCCTATCTCTATTGCAAATGTTGATGCGAGTTGCTGTACAAGACAGTTTGAAGTTGAAATAGTTGCTGAAGATGAAAGTCTACTGGATCATGGTGAAATGATTCAGTCTGCAAAAGATGAAGTAAATAAAGCAAAAGAAGTAAGGTTGTGGCTCGATTTCTCTACTGATGATGTGGCTTATTGGATTGCTTGTGGACCCCATGACTGGGTTATTTGACAAATCTTACCGGACTTTCAGTAGTGGCAAACCAGCAAGATACTTTTCACAAAAACGTTTCTTTGTGGTAAAAACTAATGGTGAGCAATACAAGAGAGAGTGGTTATTGTATTCATCATCAACAGGGTCAGTTTACTGTTTTGTTTATAAACTTTTTGCTCCTAAATGTTCCTCGCATTTTGTTAAAAGAGAAGGGTTCATTGACTGACGAAATACTATTGTAACTGATCACCATGAAAGAACTGATCACCACTATTCACCGAGACTCTATGATAACATACTTAACTCGGAGACAAGGTTTGGGCTTGGGATAACAGGTGGAAAAACAAATTAAAGAATTACTGAGAACATGTCTTGAGGCGTGTAATAGCTGTTATTTGTACGTTAGCTGAACGTGGCATGGCTCTTAGAGTAACAGAGGAAAGATTTGGGTCATTGCTGAAAGGGAATTTTTTAGGGCTGCTTGAGCTCATAAGTCAGTTTGATCCATTTTTAGTATGGCACATTTCGAAATATGGAAATTCTTCTTACCTGTCCAAAACCACCTGTGAGGAACTCATTGAACTAATGGCTCAAAAGGTCCACGCGCTCATTGTTGACGAAGTAAATTCTTCTGGTTATTTTAGTTTGTCAGTTGACCCGACACCAGATCTATCACATATAGATCAGTTAAGTGTTTTACTTCGATACTTAAAAGATGGGCAGCCAGTTGAACGCTTTTTAACCTTTCTGGAATTAAAAAGCTGGCGAGGAAATGGCAAACCAGGTGTTGCAGTACTTACGTGAAAAAATGTAGGGGTCACCCTACGACAACGCTGCTAACATGTCAGGGCGTTATAAGGGGATGCAGCAAAAAACCTTAGAAGAAAATAAGTTTGCCATATATGTGCCCTGTGCAGCCCATTCACTAAGTGCTGTTGACTGCTGTCAAGTGGCAGTTAATAGGCCGAAGTGCTGTTGACTACTGTAAAGTGGCAGTTAATTTCTTCTGTACAGTGCAATTGCTACATTCATTTTTATCAGTCTCAACCAGCCGGTGGAAAATTCTTAAAGTTTGTCTTGGAAATAAAAGTGTGTTAAAATCCCTCTCGGATACCAGATGGGAGGCACATGCTATGGCAACAGCAGCAATTCTGAAGCTTTTTTAAAGATTTTGGAAGCTTTAGAATGTCTGGCGGAAGACCAGTCACAAAAGGGAGACACTAGAAGAGAAGCAGACAATACTGCAAATAAGATGCAAGAGCTATAATTTATTGTTATGTTGAGCCTTTGGGATGAGATTTTGCAAAATTTCATAGAGCAAGTCAAGTTCTGCAAAATTAGGATGTGAACTTAAAAACATGCGCAGATCTGTATGGGTCATTAGCTGACCAACTGCGCACTTCAAGAGATGACTTTGAAAAATTTGAAGTAACTGCAAAGGAAATACTACCAGATGTTGGTTACAATGCAGCTCAAACTCGCAAACGTATCAGAAAGAAGATACCCAGTGACGGAGATGCACCAGAAGTAAGTCTGAATGCCAGAGATAAATTTCGTATCACCACTTTTTACACAATTGTTGACAAACTAGAAACTCAGATGAGAAGGACAGGAGAGGTGTACAAAGAAATAGCGGACATATTTTCTTGTCTAAGTGATGTCCAAATAATGTCACTTTATCATCTACTGAAACTGAAAGATACTCTCAGTGTTGTCAAAAGCTAATTGATGGTTACCCAGATGACTTGAACACTAGTTTCTCTGCTGAGCTTCAGCAATTTCACTCATATGCGTGCCATAAGTTCAGTGCAACTAAAATTGTAAAAATCAGATTCAGTCATGCTGAACTTTATAAAATATTTGTAGAAGACAATATTGAGTGTGCGTTTCCAAATGTAGAGATTAGCTTGTGTATATTTTTAACGTTAATGGTCACAAATTGCACAGCTGAGCATTCATTTTCTCAGATGAAGGATATTAAAAATCCCAACAGAACAACTATGCGACAAGATAGGCTGGTTGCCTT